ACCATGAAAGCTGGAACGCCCACTAGTGGGCAGTGGGGACCAGGTTGACTACCACTGGTTTAGATGGATGATGATTATGCAACTTTAGAGGAGAATAACATTTTAGTTTTTCTCAGCTATTAGACTAGTAGGCACTTCAGGAACCTGCCTTTGAAATCGTAAGGATTAAAAAAAATATTTTTATTTTAATTCACAGTGCTGCACTGAGCTATTCAACACAATCTTTAGCATCCTTGTTTAGAAACGGCATGAAACTTCATGAGACCTGATTTCTAAGCGCTATCACAACACTACTAAACTCATTTCCCCAAATTTAGAAATACAAAATATCCTTCCACATAACATTTTTGTCTGCTAGTGGTTTCCCTCTTGAATCTATAAAGCTGGAACACAAAATTGAATTATTTGTATTGGGCTGCTTGATATAAGGCACTCATTCCAATTCCGTGGGTCTTTTCATACCTCTTTTTAGCGCTCTTTCTGAAATTGGAATTCCATATTTTTCGCAAAGCTTGACACACTGAACGTAGACATAGTAGCATGCCAGTCGATGCTGGTCCACCAATTCTCCCATTTCACCCTTTAGGCAACTTGGCAAGCAGTGACTATCGATAACTGGGTCGCCAGACCTCACTAGTCTGCACTGTTCCGCAAAGTGTAATGGATTTGTCTTCCTCTGTAAAAAAAAAAGACAGTGTCTGTCGTAAAACAATAAAGGTAAAGGTTCCTCTCGCACATATGTGCTAGTCGCTCCTGCCTCTAGGGGGCAGTGCTCATCTCTGTTTCAAAGCCTAAAAGCCTGTGGCTGCCATGACTAAACGCCAAAGGTGCACAGAACTCTGTTATCTTCCAACCAAGGTGGTCCCTATTTTTCTACTTGCATTTTTACATGCTTTCGAACTGCTAGGTTGGGAGAAGCTGGGACAAGTAACGGGAGCTCACTCTGTTACGTGGCGCTAGTGATTTGAACCGCCGACCTTTCTGATCAACAAGCTCAGCGTTTTAGCCACTGAGCCACCGTGTCCCTATAAAACAATAGTGTTATGCAATAAATTTTACTATACTGCTAAAGTTGTAACAAAGTGAGGAATGAATTAAAAGGACAGAGACATTTTTTTTATCCTATTGCAAGAAAAAAACCCAGCTCTCTAGGCAGACCTTTACTGAAAATGGATTGAAAAAATGTGTTTGTAAGATGTGAACTGGGGACACTTGCTACATAGAAATAATAATGACTTTGCAGCAACTGCTCTAAGCAGCCAATTCTTAATGTCAAAGTCACATTCCAGTTTATAAAATCTCTGCCTTACTGCTAAGGGAAACTTTAGAGCAGACCTGTCAAACTGGCGCCCCACAGGCCACGCCCATCCTGGCTCCGTAAAGGAAAAAAAAAAGTCACAATCCGGCCATTGGTGCGATCAAGTTTGACGCTCATGCTTTAGAGGGCATACCCACTATCACAAACAAATATTTTAGTTCAGAGGAAATCGGTACTCCATGGGATCTTCCCATTTGCATCTGCCATTTCTGCATTTTATACTGAACAGGTGTTGTGTTCTTACCATTATCCCAAGGGAGGAGGAAGTTGTGTTAGATATGTTTGCTGCCTTGAGTTATTTGTAATAATGATAAATAAGTAAAAATAAATAAATGTCACCCATTATTCGGGAGATAAGTCAGGTTGCCTGTTAGCAGTGCGGGGTTTCTACTGGTTCAGCCGAACCAGTAGGAGTTTGGCGGCCTGGGTCGCTGGAATCGGCAGCGACCCAGGCCTGCTATGCCCCCGAACCTATAGCACCACCATCTTGTTTTTGGCTTCTGCACATGCGCAGAACAATTTTTATTGTACTGTGCATGCGGCAAAGTGCGTGCTGCGCACCCATGAGCAAACTGGCAGTAGTGGCTACCAGAACCCACCCCTGCCCGTTAGCATCAGGGAAAAGTGGCAATAGACAGCATAGAGATGGGCAACAGGGAGAGCAAGTTCCTAAGTGTATACTTTTTAACCAACTCAACCAGCTTTAACTCAGCAATGGTGAAACTCATTACATCATCTAACCTGATTGAAAATAGGAAAACTGCTGTTCAAGATCCAGAGAAGGTACTACTCCCTTAATAGAAAGATGATGGGATTGGTCAGCAATTATACATGCTAGGCTCTTCCAGAGTGATAGAGTGACCTCTGTTGCCAAGTGAACACTAATAGGGAACCACTTTGGCAGACATCTTCAGGAATGCTGCCTCATTGGGCTTTTTCACTTTTTCACTCTTCTCTGTTGCTGTTTCTTTCCCCTACATTTCAAAGAGCCCTGGTGGCACAGTGGTGGAACATTGTAGGCTAACTCT